TTCTCTACTAAGAAGGAAGAAAGATCTACCAAAACCCACGTTGGGATCATGAAGAACACAGCATGGCACCCAAGTATGTTCAGCAACCGAAGATGATGTATTCGGGAATCTCTTAACACCTGACAAAAAACCATCATTAAACAGCCTTTCTTCAGCTACTGCCCACGTTACCAGCGGAGATGCAGGAGCCATGTAACAATAACAGCTTTAGATGAAAGTTAAATTATGAAAATAAGTAAACACTGTTATAGTGTGAATTTCCTATAAGGATGACCAAAGAAAAACAGATGCCCATTTGAAAAACAGTGGTTTCTTGAGCGGTGACTCTTAGCGTTAACAAGATAGTAATACAGTTAAAATGCTGTACAAACCAGAAATCATTTCGTAGCTAAGTAGATTCAAGACGTAGATTTTAACTTTGTTTCTAAGATTTCAAGGAGTGCCTGGTGTTGACACTGACTCATTCACTACAGAGAAAGGATTTGATACAGCAAGATACATTAAAAGCTTTCAAATGAATGGTTAAATTCAAGCACTATCGAACTGTCAGCAGAAAAAAAAAAAAAATCCATGCTGAGCAGTAAAGAAAAGGCTCAGGATAAGCTCTGAGTTCTGCCCAATTTTCAGTGTAACAGCTTCAACAGGTAGGAAGAGCTGTAGAGAACAGGCGTACAAAATAGCCAACCGCTACTTTGGGTTCCTTTGATTATAAAGTCAACTTTAAAAAAAAAAATATATATGTGTACTGGGAAACGCACACTGTCCTGCTAAAGGATGATGCGACTGACCGATGTTATGAACAGCGAAACTATTACCTTCTTTGAGAAGATGTTCTGAAGTGAAAAACACAGAGTAGCAGCAAGCGCACTGATGAGTCCCCACATGTCAAAGGAGAGTTCCGTGACGGTGGCCAACAGGACGCCGGTTATTATGGGGATCAGAGACAAGTACACCTGAACGAGGAAGAGAGAGGAATAGCTTAAGTCTTCTAGGAATTTTCATTTCAACTGAGTTTACACATACCACTGATTTGGGGAGGGAAGGAGAAGGAAGAATAAAGCGACAGAACCAGGGAACAACTTCTATGCTGCTGTAGCTTGAGGAAATTAAATTACTACAATACACACCAGAACAACTCCAGCGTATCAGAGAGCATCACCTTGCTCGATGTTTAGACACGCTTTCTTTACGTTCACAATAAAAGGAAAAGGAACTTGTAAAATCTGCATAATCTAATTTCAATCACAAAATTCACCCAGCTAACCAAAGCCTGAGCTTTCCTGACCCCAGCCAGCGGAGCGCACCACAAACACCACCAAGAGAAGAAACCTCAGCAAACCTGTCCGCACCTTCGTCGTCTGCTTTTCCTTCATTATGATCCGCGACAGGAGAACCACCCATATTGGCATCGTCGCTTTTACTGAGAACGGAAAGAAAATGTCGGTGGGGATGCGAAGTTTGGGCCAACTCCGTTAACCGCCATCGGCGGAGGGTGAGCGCTGGGGATGGAGGAGGGGCTCAGGTCCGGTCCCACCAAAGCCATAACCGCAGCCCACGCCGGGTCACCCCTCCTCGTCACCGTGCCGGGTCCTCGTACAAACACGGGCTGGTTCTCGGTGCTCTGGGACGCCGCACCGGACGCCCGCACGAGCGCCCGCCGGGCTTCAGGTCGCCGCACCGGGCACAAGCACGCACCGGGGACCCGCACA